GAGCAGGTTTCCTTGTGGAAGGGAGAGCTCTTCCACTCTGATATTCTTAAAACCCTTTAATTTCTTCACAGCCTTATGGACACTATTGCAGGGGCATTTTGGTATAAAAGTACCTTCCTGGGGACATACATGCTTCCTTCCTTTAAAAAAGTTTTGTTTGGCCCTAGCTGGTTTGGCTCAGTGGATAGAGCGTCAGCCTGTGGACTGAAGGGTCCCAGGTTCGATTCCGGCCAAGGGCACATGCCTGGGTTGCGGGCTCGATCCCCAGTGGGGGGGTGTGCAGGAGGCAGCCAATCAATGATTCCCATCATTGATGTTTCTATTTCTCTCTCCTTCTCCCTTCCTCTCTGAAATCAATAAAGAAATATATTTTTTAAAAAAAGTTTTGTTTGTCCACTGCAGCAGCTTCCGTAAAACACTGCATGTGGGAGCACCTGACGTGTCCGCCCGGTCATCCATGCCCCGCCCCGTCTTATGAGAATAAAACACCAACCTGTCCCGAGCCTCAGAGGCTGCAATGACTGCACAAACGTGTTATTGTAAAGGTTGCTTTAAACCAAACAGATAAGGAAAAAACATTTACCACGTGAACCCAGAAGTGCTGGGATTTTAGTGGATTCTCCCTCCTCGCCACTTGCCCAGCGCAGCCTTGGCGGAGCGAGGAGAAGGAAATTGTGATGTTTGCTGAACGCGGTGCCCAGTGGATTGTGGGCGCTTTGCTCAGCCGGCATCTGGTCTGAGAGTGAGAGGCCGAGGAGAGCTGGGCGTGCAGTGTCCTGGCCGCGCCTGGTGCTGACGGGCAGGCCTGGCCGGCACTGAGCGGGTCCCGGTGCCGCGGCACTCCGTGGAGAAGCACAGTTAGGCCAGTGATCTGAGTGAGGCGGTGTTGCCGTTAGGAAGGCGATTGGCTGTAAGAGCTGAAAACAGCAGTGGCTGCAGCCAGCTTCCTTCTTTAGTTATTTATTTACTTACCCTGTGTTTAAAAGAAGCCTCTTGGGCCTGGAAAGTTTTATAAGTTGCGGGGGGAGCCCAGCGGGAGCCCAGCCAGAGCCCAGCCTTGCACCGGAAGGCCCATCCCCACATCGGCCTTTGCTCTGCAGCCTCAGCCTGGAGCGTCGGCTTCGGCCCTGTCGGTGAGCGTGGCTCTCTTCTGTGGCACACAGACCCATATTGCAACCACCAAACACATGGCTTTAAAGGCCCTGTTAACCGAACATTCTTGGCTTCTGCCCAGGAGACTAGAGATGGTGTCCTGTCTGTCACTGTCGGTCCCTTAGCAAAGCAAACACATCCGCTCACAACATCAGGTTGTTCTGACAGTATCACTTGTGTTAGGAAAATGCCCTTTTTCCCTTTGAGATCTGCCCACTTAGCGGTAGATGCTCACCTTTAATCTCAGTGTTTGCTACATGACAGACGTCAGCCTGCGGTCAGTGTCGGACTCTAAGCTGCAAAATGTTAACTCCGCCCAAACACCCTCCTCCACCTGCCGCTCCTTTTGTCTCGGTTTCCTTCGCCTCCTGTGAATTCCTTCCTTCCCCCTGCGGCGGCGCCACCTGCAGGGCACCCAGGCCGGGTGGGGACGGAAGCAGTAATTGGCTTTCCTGGCGTCTAAAGGGTTTACTTTCAGATTACTTCAGACGTGTTCTCTTACGAGAAACTTCCATAGTATCTAGTGAAATGAGTCAAACAAGTTCCTCTTTAACCATAAATTTATTCTGCGAGACTTCACCGTTCCTGGGGTATTGTAACTGTCTAGCTCGCTTTTTTTTCAATATATTTGGTTGTAAATTCTCAAGGTAGTTGTAATGTTATGAGAAAGGGGCAGCTAAAATAATGGGGTGGGTGCAGCGTCATTAAACAGTAAACAGCAGTGAGATGCTCTGGTCTGAGAGTGAGAGGCCGAGGAGAGCTGGGCGTGCAGTGTCCTGGCCGCGCCTGGTGCTGACGGGCAGGCCTGGCCGGCACTGAGCGGGTCCCGGTGCCGCGGCACTCCGTGGAGAAGCACAGTTAGGCCAGTGATCTGAGTGAGGCGGTGTTGCCCTTAGGAAGGCGTTTGGCTGTAAGAGCTGAAAACAGCAGTGGCTGCAGCCAGCTTCCTTCTCTCTGAGGAAGGGACCAGAGGCACCGCCAGGGCGGGTCCAGGTCCGGATCCGCAGTCCTGGGCCCAGGCTCCTCCTCCTCGCAGTTCCGTCTCCTTTGGCCGCTGAGGGCCCTGATAGTGCCGGGGCTGCAGCCCTGCCCAGCCTGGGTCAGCGGGGAGGAGGGGGTCATGGCACTTCCCCCAGGGCCGCTGGGCCAGCCGTGCTGCTGGGAAGTGGTGGGAGTCCGCGCGGGATGCTGGCAGGGTCTGCAGAGGATGGTGTGACCTTGCACAGTGTGCATGTGTTAATGCCACTGAAGAGCACACTTAAAAACGCTCAGAATGATAGTTTTATGTTACATGTATTTTACAACAAATAAACAAGCAGACGTCGTCCTCCGGGAGGGGAGCCGGGGGTGCGGCTCTTCCGGGGACAGCCTGCACGCCAACGGCCGAGGTGCATTCCTCTGAAAGGAGAGGCCGTTGTGCATGACCAGGGCCTTGGGAGCACTTGTCACGCCAAGAACGTACAGAGCAGCGACCATAAAGGGCGTGGGCGACTGCGGAGCGATGACGAGGGAAAGTGTGGGCTCACCCTGTTAAACTTTCACCAGGAGCCGCAGGACGTCAGACCCTCCGTGTCTAACGCAGAGTTCTTGTCCTGCCAGTGGCGTCGCCAGAGCGTGGACGCGGGCCTACTTCGGGGAGGGGTCCGGCCCGGTGCTGCTGGACGAGGTGCGCTGCACGGGCAACGAGCTGGCCATCGAGGAGTGTCCGAAGGGCTCCTGGGGCGAGCACAATTGTGGCCACGGAGAGGACGCCGGCGTGTCCTGCACCCCTCTGACGGGTAGGCTTCCCGGCCCCGGCAGCTCCGGCCCAGCTTCTGTGGGCTGCTGTTTGCTTTGTCTCAGTGTAGGCAGTCTTACTAACTGAGCATAAAAGTAAACACGCCCAACAAAACCTAACAGAAATGGTCTGCTAAAACGCTATCCCCTTACTTATAGACATGGCTGAATTTTCACTGGAAGAGTATACAGTGCTGCCCGGCTGGCGTGGCTCAGTGGCTGAATATCGACCCATGAACCCAGAGGTCACGAGTTCGATTCCCAGTCAGGGCACAGGCCTGGGTTGTGGGCTTGATCCCCAGTGGGGGGCGTGCGGGAGGCAGCCGATCGATGATGTTTCTCATCGATGTTTTTATCTCTCCCAATTCCTTCCTCTCTCTCTAAAAATCAATAAAAATATATTAAAAAAATAAAGGGTATACAGTTCTGTAAAGCTAGGTCAGAATATAGGATTTTGTTGCAAAATATGACTTTGTTTCATTATATACTAGTTGTCCCCAATAATGAAAATCGCGTGCAGTGGTAAACGTCACATTTTAGGAATTAGACCTCTAGTCCATTCCTCTTTGAACCTGTATTGACTCTCAGAATGTGTTTGCAGCTGGTGGAACTGCATGGTGGGGTCCTGAGTCAGCACCGTCAAAGCAACCAGGCCACCGTGGTGTGCTCCACTGTCAGACTGCGCCAGACCACAGCGCTGCCATCCGCCACGCCACGTGCCGGAGAAGGGCGTGCTGGAGGGCTGATGCGTGTGTGCGCACGCATACACACGCACACACGCACACACACACACACATGCACACACGCACTTACACCTCCTGGGGGCAGAAGAGGGACGTGCACACCAAGGGAAGGCAGGTCATCACAGAGCCACTGGGTCTATAGTGAAAAATTCGAAAATGTGGGGTTTAAAACTGTGTTTAAAAGAAATTTTAAAAAAACCTTAGGGCCTACGAAGTGCTGAAGTTATAGTTTTTCATTACCAAGGTCTGTGCACGCTGTTGTTTTCATCAGCAGAACAACACGTTTACTAAGCACAGTAGGAGCACAGCATTCTGCCGAGGCCGAGCCCGGGCGCCTGCCTGTCCGCGCGGCCAGCCTGTGGTGTGGCTGTGAGCCGCAGCGCTGGGCGGACTGTAGTGTTACACTAGGTCAGTGATGGCGAACCTTTTGAGCTCGGCGTGTCAGCATTTTAGAAAACCCTAACTTAACTCTGGTGCCGTGTCACATATAGAAATTTTTTGATATTTTCAACCATAGTAAAACAAAGACTTCTATTTTTGATATTTGTTTTATATATTTAAATGCCATTTAACAAAGAAAAATCAACCAAAAAAATGAGTTCGCGTGTCACCTCTGACACGCGTGTCATAGGTTCGCCATCACTGCACTAGGTCCTTCTAAGAGTCATGCTTATGCTTTAAAAGATCCGAGATTCATGAAAAGTATGACTTTTGCCCGACATTATTTGTATGTTCCATTTGGGACAGTATTTGGATTATTTTGGGTGGCAATGGCTTTTAAGTCTACTTTCTGGGGATACATTTATCGTGTTGTGAATCCGCTTAGAACATAGTTGCAGGGCTCTCTGGGAATTAACACTCGTTGAGTTCATAAGGTTCAAATTCAAATCTGCGTGATGAGGAGGCGCCCGGAGGCGGGG